CTCTAGCCTTGTTTTAAAACCGCATAACAGGGTTTGGGGCATTGAGAGCGAGCACACTACCACCGTGGACAAGAGCGCTCCACCAACGCAGCGATGAGCCACACAGCACCGCTGCACGCTAATCTGGCCCCTATTGAAAACAGGTCGGCAGTGCACTAAGCCAGGTTTGAGAACAAAAGACAGTTATACAACACTGCACAATCTGGGCTCTGTTTACAAGGCTGCTGGCCTGGCTGAAATACTCGGGCATCAATGAAGGTCACCTTTCATTAAATGAAATTATGAATTTTTGAAGGACTTTGAAAATGGAAAAAATGATAGTCATGCCGGCACAGCATCATCAACATTGAAAAATGCCCCGGCATGAAGTGGTTAACTCGAATTTTGGATAACTCAAATTTGTTGTCCATTCCCCAGAGATTTGAAGGTATTGAGATTTTACTGTATTACAGTTTATTTGCTTGTAATATGACATCACTGTGTCAACCTTGTAGGCACACCTCAGGAACAGGGTTAATGGTAATACCAGCTTTACAAGTTCATACATTATACATTAAACAAAATCTTGCATATAAAAAACAATGGCAGCATAAAGTGGTCAAAAAGTGTATGATTCACTATGTGGCCAATGCAAAAAATACATGTACTTACAGCTGACACAGGGTCTGAATGTGCTGGCAGAGTCTTCAGACATTTTCCAGTCTTCACGTCCCATATCCTTACACTCTCATCAAACTAAGCAAACAATCAACAACAAAAATCACTTTTAGATAAAAACTATTATTTATAATTGTATTAGCTGTGAGGCTTTCAACCTTGTATTTTTCTGCACTTGAGTTGTTCTTAAATATTTTACCTTTACTACCAAGTTTTCTTTTCTTGTATTAAAAGCACTGTACATTTGCTAAGGTTTGTTCAAAATAAAGGCATGTACCAGTAGTTACATGATGGTCAAAAGGGCAGCAAGAAACTGGAGCAACTCGAGGTAAAAAAAAATGTACATGTAAACAAATTGTTCTGCAATGTTTGTCATCAAGAATACAGTGCCAAAATCAAAAGAATCATGGAAGGATTTGACGAACTGTTTTGTCAAGAAATTTTATTTGGAAAAAAAATAAGATTCACCATGAATGAAAATTATCATCACCTTGCTGTATGATTGGATAAAGCCTTTAATGGTTTGCCAGAGTTTTGATTATTTCTGTTTGTATTTGTCATTAATAAATTTACCATGCACAATAAAACTAGGAACATGTATGTACAAAGGTTTGTGTGGAGGCAACTTGTATCTTCACCCTCATACCAATAACCACAACAAAAACTAAACACACACACACACAAAATTCAAATTGCACTAGTTCATATGGCCAATACTCGCACACGTTTTGAATATAAATTTGAAATGTGAAAGTATCACATGCCGCTCTAACTGCACTTAAGCTGCTACATGTGGTTCAGAGAAGAAATAGTTTGTCTAAAATCTTGACATTCTTACTTTTAAAAATGTTACATGCATTTTTGTTATTTAAATTGCATTTTAAGGGGGAAAAGTATGTTACTTCATTTTAATTGTTAAAACCCTATACGGAGGCATCCGCTGATTTTTAAGAATCAGTTTTTGCTAATTAGTTGATTAGAAAAAAGAATTTACGACCAACTGCAATCACCTTCCATCTAATCCTACCTCTGTTCATGCTAAACAGCCTGGTTTTGTCACCATAAAGGTTAGGGTGTTGCATTACTTGTTATTGCTCAGTGTTTTTAGTTTACACTTTTCTTTATTGCGTTTTTTGTCATATAAGTTCAAAACCCATCAGCTGGATCTTGTACTTATTATTGATTGTTACTCTTTGGTTGACAATTCTATTTATTTTTGAATAAATGCATGTGAACTACACTTTGTTTTCAAACTGTTCTATTACAAGAATGTGGAATCATGTAGTCAACTCAAAGTTGGTTTTTCAGGTCATGCATCAAATGTTATTTCAGATCTGCAGTTGGAACACCCCCCTAACACCCCCCCAAAAAATACCTAAGAAAATTTTGTTTGCCGAATTTATTATTTACAGGGAGCAGAGGACATCCACTTATGAAATTAAAACTGTTTAGAAGTTAATCTTTGTTTAGAAATTGATGATAACAGGATTATAAGACCTGTATCCACAAAATCCACATGTCCAGCCGCAATGGGGGAGGGGGGAAAATTAGGGGTTGAAAAGTACATGAAGGTAAATGTGGCTAGTTTCAAAGGGGAAAAATACTTTACTTGACTTTATCTGTACATTCTGTGCATAACTGAACTGCATCAGCAAAATAATGAATTGCTGCTTTACGGCATTTGCATAAAGGTGATCATTGTAAGTACAGCTGCATCTGAAATATTACTTACCGAGCCGGAAACAATCAGGTTGGACTGTGGATTGAAGTTGCAGCAGAACACATAGTTGCTATGACCCTTCAACGTCTTCAAACACTTTCCCTGATGGCAAGATTATAATAATTTTTGTCTTTTGTTTGTTCAACCAAGATGCACATCCAAGTCTAATTCATAACATAACTATTAGCTGAAGGCTGTTAGGTAAAGGTTTTACATGTATGAATTACAGAGCATTTTTATACATATCCGATGCGTTTTCATCTCCATTCATGAACACAGTACAAACAATCATGTACAGTACAATGCTGCTATAATGAACACCACTACATTGAAATAATGGGTATACCGAACATCTCCCTTGGCTCAAAGATTTTCTGTGCACTGTTACCAAACATTAAAATTTCATTTAAATAAAAGAAGCATACAGTGTACTTGGGACGGATGATGATGACTCAAAAATTAACCACTTCGTGCCGGGGCATTTTCCAATGTTGATGATGCTGGGCCGGCATGACTATCATTTTTTCCGTTTTCAAAATCCTTCAAC